ATGCACTTAGAGCCTAAAACTCATCCTCAGGTACTTCTTGGACTTCCATCCAATTTTTTTTCCAATGTGGATGGACTTTTCACCTTTGGATCTGAAGTTTTTATATATCACAGCAATGGAAAACGTCTTATGACCAGATTCATCACCCAATTTTATAGCTGTCTCTGGCCACTAGAGCCACTTATGCTCCTTCTATTTTTGCAGATTCTAATTATCTTCACCCCACCCCCCCCCCCCCACAACCTAGCAGCTTTTGAACCAGCATCTTCGAAGACTTCAGAATTCCTGGCTCATCCCAGTTGTTTCACGTGATGAGCTCACCCCTGAGGGAGTTACAGTATACTGCTATAACTCCCTAAATAAAAGGAGTCCGTTTCAAGCCTCTAATTGATGCAAGAAGGATCAGGTCTGTTAGCCTTTATGCAACCTGAGATCCTTTTAGCAAAGGAATTATGTGATTCCAGTTGATAACCAATTAGAAGCTCTTTTAGAGCTATGGTTCTTTTCTGGTGTGGTCCTCTGCCCTTCAGTCTTGGATTCTGGCCCCCTTGTTTTTTTTTTTTTTTTTATACCTTTTGTACTTGTTTTGTCAAAACCATTTTCTGACTGGTTTGAAATCCGACTACTACTGATTTAGTCCTCACTTATAAAACATGTTGTGAGCAGATGACGTTTAGGCACAACACTTTCAGCTATGATGTTGTTGCTGATAATTTTCTACATAGTTGATGTTAGATCTTAAGGAGGTTGTATATTCTATAGTCAACCTATATCAGCCAAATCCTCAGCCTAGCCTTCCTCTGCATGACGGTGTGCCCCACTTTCTAGAGAGAGGGACATTTGTTAACTTTTGCAGATGTTTAGACAGCTTGCATCTCAAATGCTTTGGCGTAGGAGGTACAAATTCAAAGCAGTTCCATTTGCCCAGTTTCACAAGCCAAGCAAATCCAAAGCTCTGCAATACAACATTATTTCATCATGGGAAAAGCGAATCTGGTCTCTGGACAGGTTGATTCATCTATCATGGAGGACCAGGTTGTCCTTGGCTTGAAAGCTCAGGAATTCAGTTCTTGAGTTACTTCTTTCCCTCTTTTCTGTCTTTTGAAGATCCTCACAATGTATGCCAGCCTGAAGAACTGGGAGTCCAGAACACCCTGTTGGTGCAATAGACTTAATTCTCCCAATTAACATCCTAGAATTTTGGGCAAATTGCAGTGTTGGACCATCCCATTGGAAAGTCATTCAATCTGGATTCAGTTGGATAATTCCACAGCAGTGGCATACTTTTATCATCAAGAAGGAACCAGGATCTTGCTCCGGGCAAAACTTTCAAGGTGTAGATAATTGGCAAGCAGATTGCCTCAACTGGCACCACCTTGACACATGGGAGTGTTTCCTACACCCCAAGGTATTATAGGACATGTGTCATCGAGGGGAGGATACCAGAAGTGAACCTCCTGTATCTAGGTACAGGGATACTCTAATGGAGACAAAGGATGCTCGCAGGGTCAATGAGAGCAGTACACCCTGATCTAAGCCTTTCCTACCCTGAAACCTCTTCCTCATTTGCTTAGCAAGATCAAGCTGACGGGCATTCCAGAGATCCTCATTGCTTTGGGCTGTCCCAGGCAGATGTGCTATACCAACATGGTAAGTCTCCTGTCAGATGCTGCTCCGTGGGCTCTGCATAATCATCAGGATCTTCTGTTCCAAAGACCAGTTTTCCATCCTGCTTCAAGGTTGTTGAAGCTCAAGTTCTAATGAATAGGGGAAAATGTAACTCCTATGTCCTATGATGCTAAAAGCTTCACTTGGTATGAGACTCAGGGCACGCACCCCAGGAGTTTCTCTGTGGGACAAATCATCTCCATCCTGTAGTTAGGTCTGGACAAGTGTTTGGCTCTCAGCGCCATTAAGGATCAGGTTTCTGCCTGTTTTAGAGGCCATTGGCCCCTTACTCTTTAAGATGTTTCGGGCAGGCTCCCATGTAGTTCCCTTGCTCATTCCCCTGTTCCCCATGGAATCTGATTCTCACTGCACTTCAGAAACAGCTGTCTTATTAAAGACATTTCAATTTCTCTCTCTCTACTCTCAGCGACAAGGTAGCCATCTGCAGGGAACCCTTTCTTGTTTTACTTAGGGTCAAAGCGGTATTGAGGCCCACAACTTCCTTCTTGCCTAAGGAAGTGTCAGCTTTTCACCTCAGCTAGAGCATTGGTCTTCTGTCCTTCTGTCTGGTTCCACTTCATCAAAAGTCTGGCTGTGGTTCGGGTTGTAAGATTCCATCACTCAACAACTGCTTTTTTTCAGGAAGACTCCTGTTTTGTCATCCTGAATGGAATTCTTAAAGATGCACAGGCTTCTTGTTCCACCATCTTTAATTGGCTTACAAAGATGATCATCCAAGCATATGGTCCCAAGGAACAGGTTCAGTCCTTTCCTGTCAAGGCACATGCTGCTAGTTCTGTAAGTAGCCATGTGCAATTCGTTTTGGTCCCAATCTAAATTCGGACGAAAATAGTAACGAATTTAGTAAATGTGTTTAATTTCGTTTCATTTATTCGCTTTTTATCAAATTCCACATTTTCAAAAAGATTCAGATCATGTGAAAATGTATCGACCAATCTGAATTGTGTGTGAAAAATAGCTGGTTGTTAAGGAGGGGGCCTGGATGTCGGCCGCTGCGTCCTTAAAGAGGAGCTCCAGTCACAATATAAAAAAAGTAAGTCAGCATCTACAAAAACTGTAGCTGCTGACTTTTAAAAAAAAAATAGCCAGTCACTTGTCCCCTGATCCCGCAGTGTCCTCACCGCAGCCGGTTTCACTGGCCATCCTCTGTGTGGGCACCCGGCTGTGATAGCTTGCAGCATCACAACGTACCCGTGTGCCCACTGCACATGTGTAAATAGCATTGTGCTTTCTGAATGGTACCATAGTCTGTTGGTACCTGTCACGTGTCCCAGAAGACTACGGGGAGTTGGGGAGAAGGGGGTACAACTTCCGCCTCCATTCTCCTAGGCGATCTCAGCAGCAGTGGGAGCAGGTACCTGTCAAAATCGGGTACCCACTCTTCCTCCCTTCCCAAAGGTGGCAATCCTTAAAACAGAACTTCACCTTTTGAAAAAAGCCCCCCCCCCCCCCCCCATTTTGAGGGCATGCAGCCTGGTATGGTTGGGGGAAATCGGCTCGCTCATCCTCCCCCTTCCTGACCTGCTGGGCTGCATCCTCGAATAAGGGTCTGGTATGGATTTTTAAAATCCATACCAGGCCCGAAGGGAAGAGGGAACCCCACACTGCATGGCTGGCTTCCCAGCCCGCTCCTTAAAGGACAAGTTCACCTTTTGACAAAAAATAATAAATGCACATTTTTTTTGGCAAGTAAAAAATATATGCATTTTTTTTTTTTTTTTTTTGCACTAGCCTGTAAAGCATTGCACCAGCAATCAGCAGATTACTGGTGCCATGCAGGTCTTCTGCAAACCTGTCAGTATATCTGCTTGCCCATACGGGCAAGCACATACACTCAGGACTTGTAGTATTCTCCTTCACAAAGCACAGTGAATGAGTAACATGGCCGGAAACCCACACAGCTGCATTTTTTTTTTTTTTTAATTTTTACAGCTAGCGGGGGAGATGATCCCTCGCTAGCTGTCAAAGCGGGGGAGCTGGAGCCAGCCCCTTCATAACATGTTACACCCATATTTAATGTGTAACATGTAATGAAAGGTCCAGAAAGGTGAACTTATCCTTTAACAACTAGCTATTGTTCAAACTGAATTCGGATTGGTTGATACATTTTTGACCGATTCGAACTTGAATCTTTCTCAAAATTTGGAATTCATTAGATAATGAATAAATGAAAAAAAACAAATTCACGAAACAAGATTAGTAACATAACTAATTTATCCGAAATGCAACTAAACAAATGTTTCCATTCTGCACGTCTATCTGTAAGAGATTTTTGGCATCAAGCGACTGTTTCCCAAATTTGCAAAGCTGTCGCATGTTCTTCTGTAAACATCTTCTCTAAGTTCTCCAAGTTCTACTGGGTGGATGTTTGGCCTCTTCTGATGCCAGTATCTGCCCTTCAGGCGGCTCTGGAGAAAGTCCCCAACAATCTGTTGGGCCTTTTAGCAATTGTAGCCGGTTTGATGTTTTGCAAATTCTATAGAACTGCTTTTGGATGTTCCAACTGTGAATTTCTTTTTGTGTCCCGCAGTGGAGGAGAAAAAATATATATGGTTTTTATACTCTTTATACTCGCCATAAAATCCTTTTCTTGAGGCATAGGTCCAACTTAACTTCTCTGTGTTTAGGATCATGCTTTCAGTAGTTTGCTACAAAACGTTTTTATGCCAGTGTCCAGTTCTCCTTTAGTAAGCAGTATAGCTCCAAAAGGTTTAATACTTTCTGTGGACTTTCAGAAAAGGATTTTACAGCGACTACAAAAATCTGTGGAGTAAGCACCTTGGTAAGGAAAACACGGGGAGATTTACTAAAATTGGTGCACTCACCAGAATGTCAGCTTGTTCAATTAAGCTTTGGCAATAAAACCTATAAGCTGATTGGTTTCTATACAGAGCTGCACTCTCCAGTTTTAGTAAATAATCCTCAAATACAGTCAGCAGTGGTCAGACAAGAAGGCCCACAGGTTGAGTCTGTCCACTGGGGAGATTTCCCCCAATTTCCTGTCCAGGTGCCAAGTGAGAACAAAAGAGCAATAAAAAAAAAAACACACAAAAAAAAAACTAGAGTCTAACTCTTCCCCACTATACTGTACATCAGCAAGGAGTGGAGCATGAATAGGTCATTCTGCACTGGGCTGGAGGTGGAATGTGAAGGTAATCACCTCATATGAGTCCCTCATTTTTTATAAAAAGTCTCGTATTTGTAGTTCCCAGTTGGAGGTGCTCGGTTTATGAGCTTGCATCTTGATGACACATAACCAGAATTTCGAATCTGTGTTTGCAGGGCAGCTTTTTGTTGAAGATGTCCCCACCATGGTGTTGTGTAAGCCGAAGCTTTTACCTCTAAAGTCAGTAACGTTAACAAAGCTGGAGAAGATGCAGCGCGATGCCCAAGAAGTCATCCGCCAGCAGGAAATGGCGCAGTTGGATCAGCAGAATTCCCAAACCTGACCAGTCCATCATAGAGGGACTGCAGATAGAACATGACCCTCCAGTCTCAACAGATGTATAGTGCTTGTCATAAAATGCCCAAATCTGATCCTTCTGTCAGAGGGACTGCAGACAGAAAACAACCCTTCTCTCTGTACAAATGTAAAGTGCTTATTATAAAATGGTTAGCTGCTGAATATTACTTTTAGTATCCTTTTATGGTGTATTATTTCCGATTGAATAAAAAAAAATCACAGCCAATTTTGTGCAATATAAGGACACTTTTTTGAAGGTAATTAAAGCTGAACCCCAGGCTAAACGAATATTGTCTAAATACAGTCTATTCTCCCTGAATCATGGTGGAGGTGTATATTTCCTTCAAATCTGTGCTACTGCAGCACAAAATATATCCTGCATGTTGCCCCTATGCAAATGTTTCCTGTAGTGTTGACCAGTCACTGCTGATCCGTCTCCTTTGTGTGGGGTAACTGGTTTTGTATCCGCCACCCCTTCTAGTTTTCTTCAGGCAGCCTATAGTGGGTGAAGCTTCTGGGTCCCTCCCACAGCCCTTATTCAAGGTAATATCTGGGTTTATAAAGACATTTGGTGCACACAGAATGAATTTATTCTTTTTATGCCTTTTGAAGAATATATTTCAATAAAAGTTTTTTTGTGCATGGAGTTTAGCTTTAAAGGGATGAGTCTAATTTGAGCTATCACCAGCACTCAATTTTCAGATAAACAGACTGGACACTTTGTTACAAACAGAAAGTGACATTTCAAAGCCATTAAGGGGCCTTTTCCTTAGGAAGCAGTATAGGGTCGCTTTCTGGTGACAACTAAAGTGTCCTGTGTTTTTTATCTGTACACGATGATGATATATTGGTGTGGATATATTGGTTTGGATTTCACCACACAGCGCACTCTTTTGTGACTTGGTGTATTGTGAGCGCTGGACTCGCATTTATTATTATACAGTATTTATAAAGCGCCGATAGTTCGCTCAGCGCTGTACATTACAGGGGGACAGAACATGTGACAGAACAATACCAATACAATGCAAAACATGATTTACAGCTTTAATAAGGGAATCTCTGCCCATTTTAAATCTTTTCAGATAGATATGTGGAACCTGTAAGAGAAGTAGCGCACTACCACTGCCAACTTTATTTGTGAACTTCCGGTTGCCTTGCCTGTCTCTCATTTCTTCGAGTCCATTAACTTGCACACGCATGCAACAAATGAAGTCTTATCTCTATATTCACTCTATCATTCAAAATACTGAGAAGAGAGCCTCGGCATGACAACCACGCAACAAGCATGATCAGTATTAAAAGAGGAGGTCAATGATAGCAGCCTGCATATTTTCTCAGGGGTTTCTTTAAAATATAAATAAAGCCTCCCATCCTGCTGTGTATTCACAACCGTGTTAAGTTCCTTTTCTAGTAGCCTACATAGGTGGGGGCAGGGTGCACGCCTAGAGATATGCATCCATGGGTATTGGTCAATATTTGCAAGGATGTGAGGGAATTAATCAGCAGAACACCAGAGGCTGTCTCATGCACAGACATGCGTAATGGTATTGTCTTCCTTAACAAAACCAAAAAGTGGAAAATATAAACATATGCAGCCACAGAAAAGTAGTTTAACTTCTGCATACGAGAAAGCTTCTTTACGGTAAGCGCTATGAAAATGACGATTAGACTGGAAGACATTGAAAGAGCCTTTGCATTGCACCTGTGTTGCACAGATTCCAGGTGTAACGCTCTGCCGGCTTTATTGCAAAAACTTCGTAAATGCACATTGATCATTAGATCAATGTTGCTTCATTTACCATGTTTTGGAAAAAGTGGACTAAGCCTTTAACTTGACTAAGAACTTAAGTAGACACGCATTCTTGTCAAATGCAGCCTTAAGGCCAGGTTCACATCTATGCGGCCGTACGGGCCACGGTTTGCGCGGGCACGAGAGCCCATTCATTTGAATGGACTCCCATGCCCCGGGACACGAAGGGAATTAGTCCCTGCACTGCTTCAGAAACCGAAGTTCAGTACGGTTGCAATTTCCAGTTTGGGCAGTGTGCCATTAGAATTAATGGCATCCGCCCACAGGTCCCGCATTCCTCTGTGTGGGTGGTGCGCCTGCAGGTATGTGTGTGGGTCCTGCAGCGGTACCACCTGCACAGATGTGAACCAAGCCTAAAAGCTAAGTTCACCTTTGGGAATATGTTCCGCCCGTTCCGGCAGCTCTCCCATGGTCCCCCGCAACAGTGGGTGGGGGGATTTTCTCCCCGCACCTACGTCATAATATGAAAAGAGTGTGGCCATGCAGGGCTCCAGCCACACGTAGTTCTGCAAATGAATGAACTACAAGTATCGACAGCCATTGCAGCTGTCGGCTTGTAGATCCCAATGGACTGCAAGGATGCTGGTGAGCGCTTTCGGAGTCCATTGATTCCATCCGTCACTCAGTAACTGCATATGAGGTATGGGCAGACGGCTTACAAAAAATGTGCATTTATTAAAGGTGAATGTGACCTTTAACTATCTGAAAGGAACAAGAAAAGGCTGGGTTCAACTTGCTTTGCCTGCAATTGAAATGCACTCATTGTGTCTGAACAAACAACACAAAAGAGGTGAAATGCAGACTCTGAACTGTCAGCTCCATTGACGTTAGTGGCAATCTGCTGACCTGTATGTGACATTAACCTCATTCTGCCAGTGAGAACCAACTCTTTAAAAGAACTTAACAACCAGAGGCAGTACATGAGCTTCCAGATCATATGATCACTGATTGGATGTCATAGTTATCATGTAATCAGAAGCCCATCCCACCAGCTTCTAATTTTTTACTAGGTTACAGAAAGCTTTTTCTCAAAAAATCCCTCGAGTTGTTTGTTATTATTTTGGCAATGTTTCAGTTCAGTACATTATATCTTTTAGGTTTTGTGGTATACTCGAACATATTAGGCCTCATTCACATGGAGTGTACTACAGCGCAGGGCTGTGTTTTCCGACACTGGGATGCACAGGTGTTCCGTGCAGCTCCTTGCAGGCAGTCCCATTAGTATTAATTGGGACACAGCAGCTGCACAGACACAGCAGCTACTCTCAATTCAACATCCATGCATGTGGTATGGCCCCAAATGCAGACAGTGTGTGTTTGGGGCCGTGCACCCTCGTGGATGATAAATTGGGAGAAGTGGCTGTGTCCATGCAGCCACTTTGTTCCACTGTACATTAATGGGATTGCTTACACAGGGATGCATGGAACACCTTGCAGGTAAATACAGACCTTGCACAGGCGTACTCTGTAGTTCACCCTGCATAAACAGAGTCCTATACATTTTTTTTCTTTGGAACAGATAGGACCTCAGGTTTGGTGGCACATTTAGATACAAATACTTTCTTTTCCAAGGCAACGTTATGTCATTTGTGCATTTCCAAATATTTACCTCAAAACATAATCAACAAATTCTGATGATCAAAATGATATCACATTAGTACAACTTTTATGCAACAGAATGGTAAGGCTCAAAGTAAACACGTGCCCTTAACTTTAGGAGAACTTTTATCCTCTTTCGACAATAAATCATGTGGCCGGGGGGGGGGGGGGGGGGGACTGGTTAGTGTAAAATTAAAGTATAACTAAGGGGAAAACTTCTTTTTAGTATTGCATAGAGTGGAGATGGATTAGGGACACCACTTAGGTTTTTATTGCCATCTGTGCCCCCATTAGGGAGATTCACCCTCCTTATTTGTCCTGTTTACCATTTTCATAGAAAGTGAAAGTACAAGAAAAGCCCAAATTTTGGGTTGTCCCCAGAAAAGTAATAGGAGGGGAAATGTTCCAATGGGGACACTAGTTCTAGTGACCTGGAGGGCCCCAAGGAATTCCCTTAATATTTCGGGATCGTCTCTCACTTACGGTTTGGCTATGGGACAGGAAGTGAAGGTAAATCTCTCCAATGGGATACAGATGGCGAAAAATAAACTGGCAGGGGTTATACCCCTCCCTTACTATAGGAAAAACGGGGTTTTTTTTTTTCATTTCGTATATAGTTCTGCTTTAAGAGAGCAATAAAAACAAAGGCTCTAAACCTTCTCTTCTCCATCCAACAGGAAATACAAATAATTGGCTGGAGCTGAAGTTGAATTAGGAATTGTTACACAAAGAGAAGTCAAATATTCTGTGCTCAGTAAGCAGCATACATTACAAGACGTAATTTTCAGTCATGAAAAGCTAAAGTTTAGTGATCTATTTTAAACAGTACCAGGGACACTACCTGACAGCAATAAACTGTGTCCAGTGTACTAGTGTTGGCAGTTTACTGCAGAAATCCTAAGTTCCTGGCACTAGATAACCTCCCGCAGCAGTGATCATCCAGTGATGCAGAAGTTAATAGTGACAGTTGCACCTGTGCACTCATCAAACCTGCAGAAAATGGGGATGATTTGCTAAGCCACTGTGCCAAATGGTTGTGGGAATCGCAGTTGTTCCCGCACCCAAAAACTCACTGCTCTGTAGAGACGCACAGGCACCCCCACACATCTAAACCTGCGCTTTTGGGGGTGCGGGAACCTCAGGGAAATTGCATGGTGTAAAAGCACCATGCTACGTGCTTGCAGCAGCATTTTGATATTGGTGCTAGCACCTTCTTTTTGCAGGAAATGCAGGCACAGCATCCCATTTAAATGAATGGGCCGCAGTGCCCAAGCAAACGTGGCCCACAAACTCCCTAAGGTGAGAACCTAGCCTAAAACTGGAGAGTGCAAAATCTGGTGCACTACTGCATGGAAACCAATTAACTTCTAGTTTTTTTTCTTTTTTGTCAAAGCCTAATTAAACCAGCTTAAGTTAGAAGCGGATAGGCTACCATGCATAGCTGCACAGATTTTGATCTCCAGTTTTAGTAAATCAAGCCCTATGCCTGCCCTTTCCACCCCTGGGCTCCATTCATGGCACTCATAGCCAAAGCTCTTACATGGCAACATAAATCATGGGCTCCCCAACCTTTGCCTGGTCCACTGCATTAATTACTATGAACAGGTTCACTAACTTAGCTTGCTTTAAACCAGATATTTACCTGCATACATTTTGCCTTTCCTGATACCTCTACTCTTCACCCCCCCTGCCCTCCCCCCCCCTCATCAACATGCAGGCAGATCAAGGTGGATGGAGCCAGCAAAGTGCTGTAAAAAGCTTCTTGAAAAACATCCCAGCACCCTGCCTCACTACCCCCTTCAAGGAGCCTCAGGCCTGATGCAAGCAGCTACTAATGCATATTTTGAGAGCTCGCAGTGTGTAGTGAAATCAGAGTAAGCCATTTCAGGGTTTTTTTTTTTGTTGCAGTCTGTCTCATTAGGGAGATTGCCCTTTACTCTCTTTCCTGCAGACTGAACAGGAAAAGAGGGGGCATTTTTCCAGTGCGAGTGACATCCCATTGTAAATTGCTGTCATGGGAACAAGTGTCTCCATTGGAAAGTTTCCCCTCTATTCCTGGTGACATATGTTGGATTTACCTATCATTTTCATTCCCAGGGACATTGTTTATCAGGATAAATAGAGAGTCCACGTCCCTAATGGGGATGCAGACAACATTAAAAACCTGACAGACGTTCTAACCCCTCACCAGTCTATCCAAAATCAAAAAGTTTTGCCTTTAGTTATACTTGAAGGGAACCTTTAAACAGAAATCATCGGAGTTGAATTAATGGAGCTGCCATTGACTTGCTAGCTCCGCAGCTTTCATTCTGATCCCAGTATATAAAACTTTTCATTGGCTACATGCTTCTTCTAAGTCAGAGACTCATTCAGATTTACAGATTAGGAACCTGAAACTGTAAAACCAGGTCAGCCATAGCACCTTGCATATTTCCTTCCTCACAGGCACCCCTTTTAAAACAGTAATCTGTTTCTGGTGGGAGGACATACTGGGACCCGGAGGTCCGTAACAGCTGGAAAGCAGCAGATTGCTATAGAGTGCTGTACATAAAGACAAGCTGCCCCTTTGTGCTGAGACAAAAACACGTCCTTGCTTCCAAGGATTAAAGTCCTATAAAATGTTTACAAGCATAAAGCAAGTGCTTGCTTTACTGCACCCAAAGCGAAGCCAAATCCCATGTAAAACTATCCATAAAACTCATTGTTTCCACAAGGAAGATCAAGAGTGAAGATTTATTCCAGCTTCACCCAACCCATTGCTGAGTGCTTTGAAAGGTCTTACTCTGGCCTTAATGGAGTTTTAAATATTAAAGGATCAGGAATAAAGAAGATTTTTTTTTTTATTTTGCTCCTCTGCATCTTTTAAAATAAACCATCAGCTTTTGATGCAAATACTTACCTTCAATACAGAGCTGTCCCCTTATCTGCCACTTGACATCCTCAGTCTTCTGGGATGGATGACTGCCAGAGTCATTCTATCCACTTTCTGTAAGCCCAGGCTGGCATGAACGCACCCCCTGCAGGGACGTTCACACACAGTCTGGCCTCACACGTGCTTACATATGCCACTAAAGATGGCCATACACATTTAGTTTTTGTTTTTTTCTGCCAGTGAACAGGTTCCTCCACCAACACCAAATAGGAGGATAAAGGAATCTCTCCTGGTATATTGTATTCCAACAGCACCCACCACAGTCAGAATACACTGATCAGCTGACTGGCTGCAGCCGAGGATCGTTAAAAAATTTCCAACATGTTCCTTCGACAAAAGTCAATCAAACAATCAAATTTTTGTCAAGCAGGAATGGCTACACGGATCGGAATTTAGCTGATCCCTAGAGAACTGACCAAATTTCAATGAGTATAGCCAGCTTAAGTCTGAAAGGATAGACTGCCCTCCACCTCCTGTAAATGAAGTACAGCCTGTGATGTCACCAGACCATAAAAAGTAGGAAAGACCTGGAGCTGCAGCTCTGCTTTAAGGCTCATTTACACTTGGTTTGCCATCTTAAGACGGATCACTTTTCATAGGGATCTAACAGGCAGCAAGGAGGAGATATATTGCCTCCTCACCGCCTATTTTACCCCCTTAAACCCCACACCTCAGTGCCGCAGCCACTTGAAGTCACTTGTTTGTTTTGCGTTTGGCGAGTATTACTGCCGGCCGAACAGAATAGCAGGGATAAATTTTGCTGCGCTGCAAAGCATCGTGGCATATGTACACCCTGGGGGGGGGGGGGGGTGGAGTGGTTCACGGGCAGAAAAATTTACAGCTCAGCACATCAGTCTGGCTATGGCATAGTGCACAATTTGTTTACAGAGTAAAGTTCTGCTTAGCCCCTCGCCCTCCTGAGGATTTACCCCCCTTCCTGACCAGGCCATTTTTTGTGATACGGCGCTGCATTACTTTAACTAATAATTGTGCGGTCATGCAACGCTGCACCCAAATGCAATTTACGTCCTTTTTTTTTTCCCCCACGAATTGAGCTTTCTTTTGGTGGTATTTGATCGCCTGTGCGGGTTTTATTATTTGCGCTATAAAAAAAAAAAAAAAACCTGACAATTTTGCTAAAAAAAATATTTTTGACTTTTTGCTATTAAACATGTCCAGTAAAAAAAAGATTTTAAACATCAAAATTACGTCATAAATTTAGTCCAAAATGTATTCTGCTCCATGTCTTTGCTAAAAAAAAAAAAATCCCAATATGTGTAAATTAATTGGTTTCCATGAAAGTTATAGCGTTTGGCAGTATAGATTCTGGATTTTTTTTTTTTTTTTGATTAGTAATGTCGGTGATCAGCGACTTATAGCGGGACTGCGGCGAGCATTCTGACACTGGTTGGAACTAACTTGTCACTGACACCAATACAGTGATCAGTGCTTAAAAAATAAATAAATAAAAGCACTGACACTGTACTAATGGCACTGGGCAGGAAAGGGTTAACATGAGGGGCGATCAAAAGGGTTACCTGTGTACTGGGAGTGTTTTACATAGGGAGCTGTGTGTGTGCTTCACTGTAATCACACGGCTTTGGATGGCTGTGCACAGCCATCCAAAGCAGTGTGCCCAAGTTGTCAGGGAAGAGAACTGTTAGTAAACAAAAAACAGTTTCCTCCCTGTCGCAGATTGTTGGAAATCACCAGGCGCTGGCGAGTAATCACCTGACGGGACCCTATCCGGAGACGCAAAAATCTCTCACACACACTTATATTTCTGCTATGGGGCGGACAGGAAGCAGTTAAGGAAAAAACCAGTCACCTTGAAGGACATTGATCCCTGATCTGTTTGGATATAATTCCAGCTTTAAAGCAGTCTTCCACAAAGCGTTCCAGGACAGAGTACGCATGCGGTACATCCAGATTTATGTCTGGAATCTCATGGTAAATTCTGTCGTAACCCTGGAAGAAAACACAAAGCAGCATCCGATTAGAGAGGGATAGGGGGAAAAGCAAACAAAAAAAAAAAGCAACAGGCAAACGTGAATTTTCCCTACTGTAAACACTTAGTAGGCTTAAATGTAAAGCTGAACGACTGGCAAAATAAAAAATAACATATGATGCAGTCTGTCAGTAGCAGCATTAATTCAGCATTTTTTTTGTTTTCCTGAGCCCCTGCTGCAACAGGACTGTTAGGGCTCGTTCACAATAGCAGTTAAAGGGCAGTAAAAGCCTGTTGTAAAGCTGTGTTTTACTGCCCCCTAACTGTTCCCCTTTAGCTGCAGAGGCAGGGAGGGTACACAAGCTGCTGCCACAAGGCTTTCCAGCCAAGGCAGGAATTATACCTTGTCGCCTGCAAGTGAATGGGGTCGCTCTACAAGTGCCATGCACCATGTGTAATGCAAAAGCAGTTGTAATGCACTAGTGCAAGTTTCATGGGGTTAAAGTGCCCTTTCACTGCCTGTCAAATGCTTTCTGAAGAGCAAACCAAACGTGGGTCACTCTTCATAGAGCAAAGCACAAGAGAACAAGCTCTTATTTCCTGGGGATGCTTTCAACAATCAGCATTTTTCATATGGCCTGAACCCCTTTTCCAAAAGAGAAAATAACGGTTGCTGTAATTGCTTAGAGTGTTATCCTCGTTCACACTGAATCTGACTCACTTGAACTCGCATGACCTCAAAACCACATGTTCGTGTGATTTCAGGTGTGACTTGGATTACATCTGTGTGACTTCAAGCACAGATGTTTATGCAAGTTGCACCTGAAATCACAAAAAATAGTACAGGATCCTTTTTTTCAAATCGGTGTGGCACCGCAAAGTCAGAGGTGCACTGATCTGAATGGTTCCATTGTCGACAATTGGGTGCGACTTGTCATGCGATTTGAAACTGTCACATCACATGACAAATTGCACCGGTGTGAACCATGGCTAAGAGTTGGGCTTTCATTTGTCTTTTACTTAATCCATTTAAAACTACAAGTCCAGTATCGGTAACTAGCTGTGTTCATTGAGATGCACGGGATCTGTCAACCTACATACCGTATTATGTCGTTGGATCTGTTTAGCAGCTCATCTCCTACTTGTCCTTGTTGAAAAAATATAAAGAATTTAAAAAAAAAAAAAAAAAATTAGAACTACCATGTTCATGGGTGGACAATACGGTTTCACTGAAGAACAAACAACACTATCACCCTGTTACAGGAAGTGGAAAAATAGCAGATTTACTGGCAGGATCAATAACGTTGCCCATGTTGTAGTCTGGAGAAAATAAAAACTGCTTTGCCAAAATATCTGTAAATTCTTGAACCTACAAACGCAGTTATAGGAAGACAGCAACACTGCTTGCAAAATAAACATCTAAATAAATATTTGCAGACAAATCTAAAAACACCTTTTTTCTTTGTTTTATGCAGTCACATGATTGCTGAATGACCCTCTTAGACACCAACTCAGTGGAAAGGGGATGGAGACTGCAAATGATGGTCCTGCCGACATCACAGAACTTTCCTGCTCTGCGGAGATCTAGGAAGCGGTGTGATGCTGTAGATGGGAGTTATAGGGATAAGCGACATTCCTAGACACTCCATGCCCAGCACTGTGAATAGCACCATCATTTTTCACAGATCAAACTGTGTATGTCTATCAACGCTATTACAGGTCTGAACTCGTAGATCGCAAATTTTCACAGAATACTAAAAGAAGCCGAGGCTGGCAGGATAATTAGGTCTTTAGACTTTACTTCCATGAAAATGATATAAAAAATAAAATATTATCGAGCTTAAAAAAAAAGCACTTTACAACTGAATTATGTATTTTTGTTTTGGCCATGTACAAGTGTATGTTACTTTGCCATTTCATCTTCCCGATATGTTTCTCCATTACCATGTACTTGTATTATAAAAGTATCCTGTTCTATTGCTGAATTGTTTTCTTTGAAATATATATATATTTTTTTTTTTTTTTTTAATGCTTTTTGTTTTTAAAAAGAAAAAAAAAATATTTTTTTTTTTTTAACAAACTTAACTACTTCAATACTGGGCACTTTTACCCCCATGCAAATAGAGCTTTCTTTTGGTGGTATTAAACTGCCTGTCGGATTCATTCAGTTTTGTTGTGATTAGCTGTTTTGGGCAAAGCTCATCACATGGTACATATGGGCTGTGATTGGCCCGGTCTGTACTATGTGATCGCTGTGACCAATCACAGCTAACACCACAACTGTATACAAGGATGGCATGAAAGTACGCCATCCACTGTATACAATTGTCATGTGATCTGCTGTGACTGGTCACATGACACTGGCAGCGGGTCGGTGTAGTCATCTGTCATCGACTGTGTCCCGAGGACACAACCAGTGACAGATCGCGCCACTGCGCATCCCCGTGAGCAGCACCTTCTGACAGGACGTCATATGATGCCCACTCAGAAGGAGGAGTGTCCCGCCCGGCCGTCAATCTACTATAGGCAGGGCGGTAAGATGTTAAGTGCAAAAAAGGTACACAATGTACAAAACTGAACAAAAACAGAGAAAAAAAAATATAAGTGAGCAAGAGTCCAGTCAATACATCACTGCCGTACAGAGTAAAAATACATACTTTCAAAAATAGAACGTTCGCCTTTCGTAACATGTTACGTTACATGTTACACCCCTATTCACAGTGTAACATGTAGCATGTTACTGTAAGACCAGCCGCCAGCATTCCCCCCCAATGTGACAGCTAGCAGGGGATCTTCTGCCCCCACTAGCTGTCACAATTAAAAAAACCAAAAAGAAAACAAAAACAACACCCGCCAGGCCGAGTCATTCATACACAGAGTTCTGTGAATGGGAAACTACAAGTCCAGATAGCATTGCGGCTGTCAGCTTGTGGTTCTCAATGAACTACCATGGTGCTGTTGAGCACCTGTGGTAGTTCATTGATTCTTCCTGTCAGTGTAAAAGTAACTGCTTTTACGGGCAGACAGATTACATTGAGAGTCAAAAAAAAAAAAAAAATAGTAAAATGCACATTTTTTTACCTGCAAAAAAATGTGCATTTATTATTTTTTGTTAGCAGTAAACTTATTTTTAAGACAATCCTAGTAGCTTGTAGCTGCATAACATGACATACGAAAGCTATACCATTTTAGTCTGACAGGATTGTGGCTTGTGTGTTTACCAAAAGGGCCTCATATGTTGGCTTATACATGGGATAGCCTGATCGATAAGTCTAAGCCTAAGTGTGAAATACCTGGTGACCCTGCCAGCTCCCCTACTTTCCTATTTTAAAATGACTACGCCAGGCATGGAAGCACATCTATCCCAGCATGGTCAGTTTTCTTCTTTGCATTCTACTTGGGAGCAAAACCTGCCTGTAATCCAACTGTCAGAAGTGTACTAACAAGCCCCCCTTGCATAGCTAATCACTGGGAAGATCATTGACCTGCTGTTTCTCTGACTCCTGCTGACACCCCCCCCCCCGCAAGCTCCTCCCCACCTCTAAGCCACTTATGAAGCTTAGAAAAGAAAGTCATGTGATCACTTGTATCGAAAAAAAAAAAAAAAAAAGTACCACAAAAAAGTTATATATTTACATATACCACATTCCCCCACACACGTTTGCCTTGCACTACACACTGAGTTGGTTGTTTTACAAGCTAAGTGCTCATATTTACTTAATGATTTTGACATACTGCAGCATTTTGTCATATTTTTATTTTCCCAATGTTTTACTTTACAGTGGACCTAAAGCGAAGATTTGTTATGTCATATGACTATAATTTAGAATTGTTAACTGTGTCTAAAAAGTATCTTAGAAAATGTTTCTTTTTTCTTGAACTCCTGGTCCCCTGGGAGTGCCTGGTCCCTCCTGTGCACACGCACAGCTGTAGATCTGCAGAGCGATAACTATGGCACGGCTGCCTCTGATTGATAGTCTTAGCAGATTTGTAGTGAGATTTGATGTCGTCATTACTGTGCTGCTCACTGAAGGATTTGCAAAGCCTTGCCAAGATGGCCGCTTTCACATAGAGACACAGTGTGGAACAAGGCATATTAATTCTGTCACAGGGACAAGATCATCTGCAGGGAGACCACAAGCAATACTAGTAACTAGTCCTTTGCCCTGTACATGCCTTTTTGTTGGGCACAGCTTCCAGAGTTCATTTCTGCTTTAAACTATACCTGAAATCTTTACTGATCTTCCACCACTTCTGTCCTCTAACCTAATCTGCCAATGTGACCACTGCTAGCTATAGCTCCCTTTAGCTGCTGGTGCCAGAATACAGCCATGGCTGAGGGGAAGTGGGTCACATGGGTTCTGCCAAAGAGTGGGACATGTGTTCAAGAGAACCTATCATTGGCACTGCCAGATCATCCTATGACAGAAATCACGTGACAGCTCAGGCACCACACACACCCCTTTCTCCCGGGTTGCATTCATGGATCCCAGAGCTGACGAGAAACCATAACAGAATTTTTGTTTCTTGTTCGGTAGGCTAGGAGGATATCACACCGGGCCATTGAAGAGCATGGGAAATAGGTGAGGGTTAGAAGAGACTTTAGGACCACTGAATTAGATCTGGTTATGTATTATGGAACACAAGTTTTAACTATTATCTATAAATTGTACTATTCAAAAAAGAGTTTTGTTTTTCAGGGCCATACATAATGCACCAACTATTCCCACCAATCGCTGGAACAAGCGTACAATCTTATCTTTTTAACAGGCAGACTTGCACACACACACTAGAACCAGTACACTAATAGGCCAATAGTATGTTTTTTGGGATACCCCTACAAGCACAGAAATTCCAATCAAGTCCCTTGACCTCTGGTGGTAACTGAACCAAGTAACCAGACACTACTTGCTAAGCACTAAGCAAAGTTAGGAAATCTATAAATACTTTTTAATTCAGTCAAATGCCTTGACATAAATGCTACATATCACTAAACTAGGACAGTAATTTTACTTAATCAAAGAGATGGTAAGGTCATTCTGCATTTATTTGAAAAATCTTGCGAGCCAAGTAATAAAATTCCTATTGTTGGATCGCAAACTTATAGCACATAACTACCAATGTGACAAAACGTGAAATAAAATTGTAGTATTGCGCTCACAACCTTCCAATCTATATAACTAAACAATAAAAAATGTGTATATGATATACATAGATGACTATTTGTGAATCTATTGAAATCCACTCTCATCAGCAAAATTCAAAAAACGGTGAAAAAATTACTAAATAATCATAATATAATATAGTATATAATAATAATGTCCCACAGAAAAATTAGTGACTTTGTGCTGAAAAATCTTCAATATCTTTAAATAGGTGACTGCTTGTGCCTCCTCCCTCAAGTGAAGATGTGCGCTTTAATGAGTAGCTGACAGGTGGCACTCACATAAATCGTATAGTGGTAGTACAGCTGTCTCAGACCTCCGCTGACTGTTGGAGCTGTGCGCTCGTGGTCCGATGGCCGGACTGACTCCCTCCGAGTGACGTGAACAGTCCCACCCCTACGCGTTACGCCACTAGTCACGTGGCTTCATCAGGGGGATCAAAAGCTTTTAAAACGATAAAGCACCATGTCAGGATTTTTCTTATATATGGAGAACCGCATGGATAAAAGAAGACATTGGAGTGGCACCCAGTGAGAGGATATTTTTCCACACCACATGTCGCATTTCATGGTTATCTTATAAACAGGAGTTCCTATACAAGTAGGTTCCAAAGGAGGTGAACCGCAAGCTTTAATAGCCTAATTGCAGGCTATCTATGAGGTGAGCGCACATCTTCACTTGAGGGAGGAGGCACAAGCAGTCACCTATTTAAAGATATTGAAGATTTTTCAGCACAAAGTCACTAATTTTTCTGTGGGACATTATTATTATACTATATTATATTATATTATGATTATTTAGTAATTTTTTCACCGTTTTTTGAATTTTGCTGATGAGAGTGGATTTCAATAGATTCACAAATAGTCATCTATGTATATCATATACACATTTTTTATTGTTTAGTTATATAGATTGGAAGGTTGTGAGCGCAATACTACAATTTTATTTCACGTAAGGTCATTCTGCAACTGGCTACGTAGGAATGTGTTGATGTCTGTTTCCTACCAGCCATGCCTTTCCATGCAGTTTCTACTTTTTTCCACAAGAGGGCAGACTTACCCTTTTCATTTGATCCAATGTAATAATTCCTGATTTCCACAGGGATTCTAACAATTGCAGCATCACCTTGTAGGTGTTGTCACCACTCGCTTCCAAAACCATTAGTACAGCCTGTGAAGAGAGAAAGTAATTAATTGAGCCTTTTAATTATATGGAATGGTCCATATCATCATTTCCTACTACTACCACCTATATTCAAACTCAACCAGGCTCTCCCCCTACCCCCCATCCGTGGTTGTAAACTTAAATGTTTTTTGTAGCTTAATATATTCCGTGCATTAAGGTAAAAAAAACATCCCATTAATTGTTGTACCCCCTCCCTAAACACTTGCCTGACGCCTCCATAAATCCAGTGCTGCCCCGTCTGCAGCAACACTGCTTCCTTTTCCTGGTATTAAAGGAGTTTCTGAGAGCGGCGGGAGCCATAGGCTCTTGCTGCTGTCAGTTAAACCCTGTAAAGAAGGAGCAGGGGGTGTGGCTTAGAAGAGCTGTGTCTATGGATGCACACAGCCTAGCTCTGTAGGGCACCCGTCAGGGGCGGACTGACAACCCCTGGGCAATAGGGGATCATGGGGCCCCTGTGTCCTTGCCCAAACTCAAAAAAGCCTATAAAAAAGGTACCAGGGGCATCTCATGGGGCCCCCTACTGACCCTGGGCCCTCAGGCAGTGCCCGAGTTTCCAAATGGTCAGTCCGCCCCTGGCACCTGTACATGTGCCCCCTCAGCATTGCTGAGAGGACATCTCCAGGGAGGAGGAGTGGACAAACGCCTGTGGTAGACCAAAAAAAGAGGTGATAAGCTACCACTCCACAATATCCTTGAAGAGAGCAGGAAGTAATACATCTTAAAACAAAAAAAAAAACAGAGGTTGGGGTCATTTTGGCTAGCGTTACATTTCATCTATCTTGTAACCGATTATTCAGATGTAGTGGAGTATTACTGCTAAGTATCCTGTATTTTGCCTTCCTTGATTGCTCCCTAACCCCCAATGAACATGCTAATGACATTTTTAAATTCAACCTTCACATTTTCATTACATACCTTATTTTAGACTCAGTGTTTCTCTATGTGATGCAGGTAGATCATGGCGGGAGGGACTGGTAGTGTACTATACAAAGCTCTCTAAAAACATTACAGCGCCTGCCTCTGTACTCCTCTCAAGAGCCCTGTTGCAAGCATTGGGATGGCTCTTGGGATGTGTTGTGCAAGTACTGAATTGCCTTGATGGGTGGATGTCAGTCTGTAGTAGTGTGCATTCCTAGGCAGGCTTCATTTGCATACAGACTGCCCTACGTTAAACCTCCCTAGCGGTATGATTCTTTCCGATTTTTTGTGCTGAAAGCGGTACCATTTTTTCGCATGGAAATAGTTTTTTATTGTAGGCTGTAATTTTTAGGAAAATTTCCCCACAAATCATTATCACTCAATTCTGCAAATGGTTCTGATTTACTATCGCTGTTCTCTAGCCGGTCTAAAACCGCTTTTGACATAAAGGGACGCTTTTTGGACGCCATGGACGTTTCTCAGTTTCCAGGCAGAAAGAACAGACAAAATGCAGGCAGGGCTCAGGACAAAGCACTAGGGACAATATGTATGTGAAATGGGATGAAACAGCAATGTTTTACTATTTAACATTTAAAAAAAAAAAATACATTTTTTAAATTTCCCGCCGCCGGCAGCGCCCGTACGTCCCGACGTCACAGGGACCTGAACACGGAAGCCGGATGCAGGCATCGGCCGGAGGAGATGGCCGGGGACGCTGCAGGGGACACATCGCGGGAGTGAAGGACAAGGTAAGTGCTGCAGGGACTCCCTATGCAGCGCTGCATGGTAAGCCCGAGTGTAGCTCGGGGTTACCGCTTTTGGTATAGAAATTTTACCCCGAGCTACACTCGGGAATACCGCTAGGGAGGTTAACACCCACCTATGATGCTGAGACTCCATGATTGAAAGAATTGAAATCCAATGAATGAAAAGGGGAGAGCCAGGGGCAGTCAGGCTGGGAAAAAAGAGCTAGATGATGTTGGACACCCTCCAGCCAGGAAATAAAGAAGACACTATCTGACTTGCTGCAGCTTCTATTGCACAGTGTGAGAAACTCACAGAGAAAGCCATTGGCTCCTGTTGCTAGGAATCAGGACCTGATGACGTCACGAGGTCACGTGACGCAACGCGTCAACGGCTCAGCGTGGTGACGTACTTCCGGCGTGACGCCATCTTGGAACACCTTTTTTTCCTATGCTTACACCCGGAATATGGAGGAATGCTTGGATACTACTGTTCACATGTGAGTTTGCATTTTATTCACTTCCCTTTATAAATAAAGTGGTTTACACTATGGAGGATATCCTTTCTCTTGTCTTTTGGGGAGTTGAGCTATGATACATCTTGCTCACTGGTCCTTGAAGAGATTGTGAAAAGGCGGATATTCAATACTGGGGAACCCTTTGTTTCAAGTCATCAGTTCCTGAGGAGTGCTGCTTGCTGAGAGGCCCAGTGGTGATAACAATAGAGCTCTGTGGCCCTGCAGGGTCGCAGGGTGGAGGTGAGAGGCCATTACAGCCACTATAGTATCACATCCAGGGTGTGTTGATATACACACATTCCTTTCTATTTGCATGACCAGAAGGAATAACATATAAATCACTGGACTGTCTGGTGTGATTTTTTGTGATTGTTTTCACTTACACTGAAGCACTTGATCCTGGCATAAGGACTCACTCCAACACCTGTTTTTAGGTTATTTTGGTTTTTTGGATTGATTAGGATTACAGCCTTATTTGTGGGTTGGGGGATGTCCCCACCCCCCCTTTTTTCTCTATTCCTTTTGATGTGTTGTCTTGTCACGTTGTGGTTATTGTCCATTATTTCACATGAGCGCTACATCATTTACTGTGTTTTTTTTTTTTGTTTTATTTTTCTGTGTTTTGCAACCTATTGGTATAGGATTAGATGTTAGCAGCTCTGTAGTATTTTATATCCTATATTTATCTATTACTATTTTTTTCTCTGTGACTCTACATAAGAGCGCAGGAGCAGTCTATTATAAATACTTATGAGTGCCTGGGGGGCAGGAAGGATCTGCGATCATGCGAACACTGTCATAGTGGTCACATGATCAGAAGCTGGTCCCACCAGCTACCGATCTTTACTCCGGACTGAGGGCTGTCTTTGTGCTGGGAGCATGCAAGCATGTGGCATGTGAGTGTTAAAGCCCATCCTTTTGCTGTGACACACGTGTTGGTCGTAAAGTGGTTAATATTCATTGTAAGGAAAACAAGGTGAATGGTAAAGTGGTGAATGAACAGCCAGGGATTCTTACTTCATATACAAGCTCATGGTGAAAATGAGGTACTTCCAGCTCCTGAAGACATCGTTCAGCTTCAGATACATCCCCAGATAACACAAATTCTTTCAGCAGCATGTCAATCTAATTCAAGGGAGACAGAAAACAACAAATTATGAACAAAGTCATAGAAAAGCCAACCTAGTGAGTCCTGTAACCCTAACCACCAGCAGAAGTGTCTGTAAAATTCGTTCCAGGATCCATATGGTCTAAGGACTTTATTTTTTTTTTTTTTACTTTCACTTTAGTTTGTGCTCTTTACATGTGGACAGCCAAAATGGATCATCATATTGGCCGCAATGTAAATAAAAAAATGTGTAGTTAAGGATTACATTCTCTTGATCTTTACATCTCCCTCTGAAAGGGTCATTAACTGCTTAAAGACCTCCCTATACCAGATATATGGCACCTATAGCAGGGCGGCACCTGTGCGCAAAATCACGTACATATATATGTGATTTAGCATTTCCGGGTAGGAGGCGCGTGCAAGCCGTGCGCCGCCATTTGTGGCGGTGGATGTCAATCACTGGTTCCCGGACAGTAATTACCAGCTGGCGTCCGGTGATTACCGACAATCACCAACACGGAGGAAGTCTGTTTTGTTTACAAAACAGTCACCCTCCCTGTCAACTAGAGCACACTGCTTGGGATGGCTGTGTAAAGCACAGCCATCCCAATCAGTGTGCTTACAGTAAAGCACACACCCCCCTGCCCCCCTAGTAAAACACGTCCAGCACATAGTTAACCCTTTGATCGCCCCTCACATTAACCCCTTCCTACCCAGTGCCATCAGTACAGTGTCAGTGCTTTTGCAGAGCTTACACAGCAGTTGTGAGCCACTGCTCTCCTCTCAATGCAAGTCTATGAGTTGCCGGATTCTGAAATCGATCCACTACCTGCAAGTCTAACAGAAGTTAAGTGGTAAGGTTAAGGCCTCGTTCACACCATACATGCAGAAAGACTGATGGAAACTGACACTCAGATTTCACTTGCAGAGACCTCAGTTTACATCAGTTTTCATGCACGCTTCAAGGAGTTTTATACATGTTGCAGATTTCTGCGCAGAAAAAATCTACAGATGATACTAGTGTTGTGATGTGAACAGGGTACATAGAGAACAACTGAGTTTGTTGTGCCTTTGCAGAACTCGTGCAGAAAAACTGATGGCTCTGCACCATGGTGTGAACGAGCCCTTAAAGGCTTTGTTAGTGAGAAATGTAACTACTCACAGACAGTCATCACAGTGGCTGCACACAGAAATTAATATAATTATAGTGAGATAAATGTCAACAAATAGTTAAATCTGTCAGCAGCAAACTGATTTAATCACCAGCATAGTCCTAAAGCTGGCCATACACATGTAGATTTTTGGACGAGAATATTCGAAAAGTCGTATGATAATTCTTTGCACATTCGATGAATGGAATAATGTCATTCGAAAATTGTCTTTTGCTTTTAACATTCGATTTTACAATGAAGGTATTTTCTGAACGATAATCACATACACTGACCGAAAATTAATTTGATCGAGAAAAGTTTTCCTTCCTGCCCCTTCAAATTTTTCCATCATTGCTGTTGAAAACGAACATCGATTTGACCTCACTAACGAATAGAAAATCAAAGGAATATTCTTGAAAAGAAAACTCTCTAACAAAAATCTATAGGTGTATGGCCAGCTTAAGGCAAACAGTAGTAGCGCTGAGAGCTCCCCTTAGTGGCTTATCTACAATTCTCTTTATTTCAATTACAAAAATAAAGAAGGGGAAGTCTGTAATCATTTTAAATTCATATAAAAAAATTTCTTAAACCAGTTCCCGCTGACCATATGCATATTTGCAGCCTCTCCGCAGATGGGCTTTAACACCAAGATGACGCATATATGAGTCCCTATGTAAACATTTTCCTGTGCCAAGAGCACGCGGCGTGCGAGCTCCCAGCACAGTTACTGGCAGGTCCTGGAAAGCTCCAGATACATACTTGAAATTGGAAGCTTTCCGATCATGTGACCGCTGAAATTACAAAATCACAGCAGTCACATGATCGGAATGCCTGCCTCTGCCTCCCGGCATTTACAACCTCCTAAAGGGCCAGGAGGTGACAGCAGGAAGGGGTTAAAGCCCAACTTAATTTTCAGTTGAAATTAGCCAAATACATTTCAGGTGTATTAATATAAAAGGCATGCAAAGTCTTATGGTTTGTTTTCTTTAGAAAGCAGCCATAGCCTGAAAGCAGCCCCTACAGAGTTTTAATAAGCCCCCTACTGAATTGGACCTAAAAATGATAATAAATCTATACATTGATAACCTATTAAATCATCTAATCTGCTACATTTTGCAAGCACTAACCGTCATTATTTAATATCCGATAAGCCAAAATGCATACTTACCTCTTTAACCAAATTTTTGACAGGCTGTTGACCTCCACCAGTCCCCCAAACACTATCAATTCTTCTTCTTCCTCCTCTGCTCATGGTCAGCAAAATTGTTGCCCGGTTCAAGGCAGACCTAGAGACAGATTATAGTTTGGCGTTACAATGGTTGGTCATGTTGCCAACTTATCCCCAAATAGCTTCAATGGCTTTTTGGCCCCGTGACAGGTTTGTCCTGTCTTGTTGCTCCCCAAACCCCACTGGGATATTTTTGACTGCACCACAAAAGCCTGTCAATATATGTTTTCAGAAAACACTAAAAAGGTATAAATACGAATCCTACCGGGCATGTTCACAGTCCACCGTGCCTTTGTAACTCTCCATGTAGTTCCTTTTCAGAATCCCATCGCCAACTGCTCTTGCAATAAACTGACCCACCAGCTGCAATGATAAGATTAAGATTTTTTTAATTTTTTTCTCTCAGAAAAAGCCTGCTATGACATCCTCAACTCTTCTGCAGAGGCTTTCCACAAGATTTTGGAGTGTTTTCTATGGGAATTTATGCCCATTTAGCCAAAAAAGAATTTGTGAGGTCAGGTACTGATGTTGGATAAGAAGACGGCTCACAAATGGTGTTCCAGTTCCTCCCAAAAGATGTTCACTAGGGATGAGGTCAGGGCTCTGTGCAGACCACTCAAGTTACTCCACACCAAACTGGTGAAACCAGGTTGTTATGGAGCTGGTCTTCTGCACAGGGGCATTGTCATGCTGAAACAAGAAAGGGTCTTCCCCAAACGGTTACCACAAGGACAACTGTCTAAAATGTGTTTGTATGGTGGTGTAGCATTAAAGTTGTTGTCAAGCCAAATTATTTATTTAAAAATAACAAATATGGTATACTTACCTGCTGTATGCAATGGTCTTGCACTAAGCAGCCTTGATCCCAGTCAGCGATCTTGGCCCCTCCCCCTTGCTGACTGCCCCCACAGCAAGCCGCTTGCTATGGGGGCACTTGTGCATGCTCACTCCTGAGCCGGATCTGTAGGTCCCTCCTCACTGGCTGTAATTGCAGACAGCAGCAGGAGCCAATGAGGAGTTAATGAGGAGAGAGAGAGAGCAGATCAGGCAGGCTCAGGTAAGTATTAGAGGAGGCCGGGGGGAGACTGCATGCAGAAGGTTTATTTACCTTCATTCATTCTACCTTTAACAGCACTCTTCAATGGAAATATCTGAACTCAGTCATTTGGAGGGGTGTCCACATACTTTAAGCCATACAGTAGGTGTGATGGTTAAGAGTCCAATACACCACACAACTCTTGTCATTTTGCCAAGCATCATAAAAGGTCACTAACTCTTCTAAATTCTTTTACGTTAATTTGGGCCAGGATAAATTCCAAGAGTCTGGGTGCTAAGAAGTAATAAGTAAACGATTTTATTAAAAACAATGTACCTTTTAAAACCACCAGCTAATTAAAATACTTAATGCAGCTTAATGCACAGTCCAAATCTTGACATCCTGCAATATCATGTATATCCTCTCTGTGAAGCTATCCTCCACAGCACAGCTTAGATATGGTGTAAACTCTATCCTCCACAGCCACAGTTAGATATGGTGTTCCCTACTGCATGGCTGTGACCTGCTGAGAAGAAGGCATGGCCACACACAGGAACTGATATTTAGAATACTTTGAAATGTGTTGGACTTCCTGGGACCTGGGTATCTAACCTATTATCCAGGGCAGACTGGCAACTCATGGGTCCCCGGGCAATAGGGGATCATGGGGTCCCTGTGTCCTTGCCCAAACTGAAAAAAAAGCCTATGAAAAAGGTACCTTTGGGGGGCATCTCATGGGGCCCCTACTGACCCGGGCCCTCGGGCAGTGCCTGAGTTTCCAAATGGTCAGTCCGCACCTGCTATTGAGAATCTATACTGAGGTTTCATGTCTCCAGTTTGATAATATTCACTACATTAATGAAGCTGTTTCCTCTGAGATGAATCCATCTATAGGACATATAACTATAAACTGATAAATGGACATGACTGAATGATAGCAAGGCACCACAAGCTGAATAATTTTGTTATAAAAACCAGTGGCATGGAGCAATTTTTCTCAATGTCAATTTAAGCATGCCTACTAGTTCCATGATTGATGAATCCATCTATAGGACATATACTATAAACTGATATGGACATGATGATAGAAGGCACCACAAGCTGTTTTATAAACCAGTGGCATGGAGCAATTTTTCTCAATGTCAATTTAAGCATGCCTACTAGTTCCATGATTGGCTGACTGGATCCTGAATTCCATAGCATTGGTTTCTTCCCTGAATTTTGTTAGTATCTCCTAATGGTCCCTATACGGGCTCAAATCTAATACACAGAGATTGTCATGTATATTAAGACGGCTCTATTTTCTAACCTGTCATTCTATTTTTTTAACGTCTTAAGTACAAGCTGACAAACCAGTACCTTAATTTTCTTTCTTCCACACCCAGCTGACATTGTAACAGAAAAGCACAAAGTGGAATTTTTCTTTAGCTCACATAAGGTGCACACGAACCTGCGGTGCCCTGGGTGTGTCCAAGACGAGTTCGGGCAGCTCTTGAAGCAGTTTATCGAAGGAGGCCGCCAGATCTTCTGCACTGAGCACCGTGCCACAAAGATCATGCAACAGCTTCGATGTCATCTCACGATGGCTAGCTTTTCCTTCCAGTGCAAGGGACACCGCCAGCACTGGGAGACCACTCTTCATTTCTCCAAGGTTTAAATCTTTTAACAGCTCCTGCAGGTAAAAATTAAATTGCATGATGAAATATAGCCATATACAAATTTACAAGTTCCCCCCAAAAATTAATTTTTATTGATGGAGTTGGCGCCTGCGTTAAATGTATCGCGGCCTTCGACACAGTTGACCACCCCCTCCTCCTTAGTAAACTATACTCCCTTGGCATCAAAGACTTCGCTCTCTCCTGGCTCTCCTATCTATCACAGCGCTCCTTCAGTGTTACCTATACACTGCCACCTCCCGCTATCTCCCACTCTCTGTTGGGGTCCCCCAAGGCTCTGCCCTCGGGCCCCTTCTCTTCTCCATCTACACCTCCTCCCTTGGCCAACTGATACACTCCCACAGCTTCAACTACCACCTCTACGCCAATGACACGCAAATCTACCTTTCTACCCCTTGCCTCACCCCTTCAGTCTCCGCCCGAATCACCTGCCTACTGAACGACATATCAGACTGGATGTCACTTCACTTCCTCAAATTAAACCTTTCCAAAACCGAGCTCCTAGTTTTCCCCCCAGCCCGTGCCCCCCCCCCCCCCCTCCACCCTCTCCATCACGACCAATAATGCCAGTCCCACCCCGCAAGCCAAAGTCCTAGGTGTCACTCTAGATTCAAACCTGTCCTTCCAACCTCATGTCCAATTGCTGGCAAATTCATGCAGACTTCACCTCCGCAACATCTCCCAAATATGTACGTTCTTAACCCCAGACACTACTAAACTACTCATTCACTCCCTTATTATCTCACGACTCGACTACTGCAACTGCCTCCTCACTGACTTACCTCATCACAGACTATCCCCGCTTCAGTCTATCCTGAACTCAGCGGCCAGACTCATCCACCTTACCAACCGCTCCGCATCTGCCACCCCCATCTGTCATTCCCTCCACTGGCTTCCGATTGCCCAACGCATACAATTCAAACATCTAACAATGATGTACAAAGCTATTCATAATACTGCCCCGAACTACCTCACCGACCTGATATCCAAATACCACCCAACCCGTAATCTTCGCTCCTCACAAGACCTCCTACTTTCCAGCTCCCTGGTCTCCTCCTCCCATGCCCGACTACAGGACTTCTCCAGGACTCCCCCCATCCTCTGGAACTCACTACCCCAATCCATCAGACTGTCACCTACCCTCCTCACCTTTAGGTGCACCCTGAAAACCCATCTCTTCAGGGAAGCCTACCCCACCCTCACCTAACAGCCGATCTCCTCCACTCCATCCCCCACAGCCACTTCCTCCTGTACCACCATCCCCTCCCTTCTAGAGTGTAAGCTCGAAAAAGCATGGCCCTCATGTATTGTTTTGTTACTGTATTGTCTCATGTACTGTCCCCCACTATAATGTAAAGCGCTGAGCAAACTTTTTGGCGCTATATAAATACTGTATAATAACAATAAATGATCTGACAACAGTGTCTCTAAGGCAGGCTATAGATGATGTGACTTCGCTTGATTCCCCCTTCAACACTGTTAGTGTTGATGGAGGAATTTCTCCCATGGAGCTATTGTGTTCTGTCAATGGGGAACCCATCCCTGCAGGGCCACTGGCAATATATGCGTGCTGGAAATCCAGCATGCTGGTTGTACCCTAGTCGATTAATGGATTGACATGGGAAAATCAACCTGCCCATACATGGATTCAATCTTGGCAGGTCTCTGCTGAACCAGCTGAGATTCGAACCATCTATGTCCAGCTTAACTTTCCTCAGAAACCAGAGCTTGCCTATGCCCCATTGTTTTTAGACTGAAATGTGCATAAAACGTCAGCTATCAATATCTCTAATTTTTCTTACTGAAGAAAGCCAATTCATATAAAAAAAAAACTATAAGCACAATATGTATGTAATACATTAGAACTAACTGTGACAAAACCAGGGAGCTTCATCAGCATCCCCTGAGCAACAAGGATGCCACTGCTCAACATTTTACAAGCACCATTCTTCACTGCCCCTCCTGGACCGACTTGACTTTAACCCCGCTGACAGCTACAGTGTATAGGTTTTATCAGCATGACTGCAGGTATACAGACACTGATAATCCTGTGTCACCACCAGTATTTTGGAAACTTTCACCTTCATACTCAAAGTAGGTTTTTATTGCACTATGGGCGGAGTCAATTTTTTGGGGTTTTATTGCACTAGGGTTTGTTCTCGTTTTAAATGATTGCCATTATAGACTTAGTTTGTACCACCCAGGTCTGTTACAGCTTGAACACACAGATCTCTCTATTAAGAGTACCTCAGCACAATTATGAAAATAACATAAAACAGCTGTAAAAGCATAATTATGGCACAGAACAAGAGGCTCTAATCTGGGAACGCCAACAGACTAATTACACAAGTGCCAGGTTGTTATCTGCAACACTCCTTGTTCACGCAGGAAAAGGGAACACATGTTAGTCTCTTAAATATTTGCTTTGTAATCAGATCACTTTGGGTTTGCAGAACATGTGAGATCCTTCCCTGCTGCATTTGGCCGTTTCATTCTAGACTGAGCATGGCTGGGTATGTGAACATAACAGCTGGCAGAAGGACCGGCCACAAACTGGTGCAGAGAAGGCTGTGAGCTCTGGAATGTATGGCTACATCCCGCTGGGAATTGTTCCCCAGCAAAAACTGTTCAGCAGATAAGAGTCCTTTCCTTCCCTTTACTGGAATACACTTCATCACAAATCACATAGGGGTCTTATAATCACCATCGCTGTCTTCCCTACAGGATGAAAAGATCATTATCAATATCATATGTAATTAACTCTGCTGGCAGCCTATTACAATTATTTAGGACTCATTGACAGCAGACTTTAGTACTGAATCAAACATTTATATTTTATCTTATATATAGTATCTGCTAGACTTAATGTAAAAAAAAAAAAACAAATAATTTCTGTCAGTCGTGAAAGGAGGGATAGAGAAAGGAAAGTGTGAGTATGTAAAGTGCATTTTTATTCAGTCTTCACAGCTTCTGCCTTTGGGATTGCATGAGAGCTGTGACAGGTGAGGAGGAGAGATAAAGAGCCTACAATAGCCTTTATATTCAGGAGCTGTTAGATGGGATAGCATGGGTCACCTTAAATACTGAGGGCTGTGCCCCATACTCTCTAACACCATCTATGCATACTACACTCAAAGCCTGGACCTCAGGGCTGCGGCTAGAATTCGCTACTCAGTCCTTTGTTTCCCCGAACACCCCTTTATGGAATAACCCATCACTGCCACATGTTTACTCAATCTTATGTTGTGCCCAAATTCCTGGATCAGGAATTTGGGCACAACATAAGTTTAAGGGCCAGTTCACACTATAGAAACGCAGTCCAAACGCGTTTTTGCATGCATGCTTTTGACACATTTCGGTGCGTTTTTGACCTGTTCCAGTTAATTTTTTCCCATCTCTTTCTTCAGTTTAACAGCTTCCTGGCCGCCCTATAGCAGAAATACTCCTACAGGGCAGCACGGGTGCATAAAAAACACACACACACACACACACACACACACACACACACACACGATTTTGCATTTCTGTTACTAACAGTCCTCCTCCGTCAGCTTTTTTTTTTTTTTTTTTTAGCACAGATCACTGTATTGGTGTCACTGGGATGTCAGTGACACCAAGCCAGTTCCCCCCAGTCTCAGAATGTCTGCCGTAGTCCCGCTTTAAGTCGCTGATCGCCACCATTACTAGTAAAAATGAAGAAAAAAAAGCCTAGTATATATATACACAACGCCATTTGTAAACGCTATCACTTTCATGTAAACCAATTAACACATGTAGCAGAATACATTTTGGCCTAAATTTATGACGAAATTAGATTTTTTTTACTGGACATGTTTAATAGCAAAAAGTCAAAAATATTGTTTTTTTTTTCCTCAAAATTGTTGGTCTTTTTTTTTTTTTCATAGCGCAAAAAATAAACACCACACAGGAGATCAAATACCACTGAAAGAAAGCTCAAGTCGTGGGGAAATAAAGGACAAAAAGTTTATTTGGGTGCAGCGTTGCATGACTGCGCAATTGTCAGTTAAGTAATGCAGCGCCGTAACGCAAAAAATGGCCTGGTCAGGAAGGGAGGTAAATCCTCTGGAGGACAAGTGGTTAAATAGGGATAAGTGCATTCCAGTGCGTTTGTGGTGCGTTTGGGTGCGCTCCGGTGCATTTTTTATTTGTTTTACGGAGTTCAAGTACAGTTCTGTGCAGAAAAAATGCAGCATGTTCTACTTTATTTTCTGCAACTGTAATGCACTGGAACTACAAGCACTGATGTGAACTATGACATTGACAACCATATAACATACTTTCTGTGCATTTTGGATGCAGAAAAAAAAAGCAACTGAAACGGATGTAGTGTGAACTGGCCCTTAATCTGATGCTGACATTTTGGAGGGAGGCCACCTTCTCTCCTTCGGTAAACTCAGTACAAAGTACATTCTTCCTTCCCACTACCACATCAGATATCTGCAGGTTGTGCATGCCATTAAAGTGGTTGTAAAGGCTTAAGGTTTTTTTTACCTTCAAGCATTCTAACACTTACCTGAGCCCCATTGCGATTCAGCCTCAGCTTTCTGGGGACTCTCCTTCCTTACTTGCTGAGGCAGCGACAGGAGCCTTTGGCTCCTGCTGCTGTCAATCACAGCCAGTGGGACAATGAGGAGAGAGGGGGTGGGGCCGAGCCACAGCTATGTGTGTGAAGGGACATGAAGAGCAGTGGCTCGGGAGCAAGTCTGCTTGGTTACTCCCATAGCAAGCCGCTTGCTCTGGGGGCACTCAGCAGGAGGGAGGGAGGGAGGGGCAAAGAGTGGTGGTAGGAGACCTGAGAAGAGGATCGGGGCTGCTGTGTGCAAAACCATTACACAGAGTAGGCAAGTATAACATGTTTGTTTTTTTTGCCTTTAATATCACTTTAAGTCTCAATTCCCTCAAAGTTGTATTGAACTCCAAAAGCTGGTATTATACCAATTTTTTCTAGCTGGTGCCCAAGACTTGTCAAATCAGC